TCATGGAATAAATAATTACAAAATATTCAATTTACAAATACTGAATAGGTTAATAATATAATATATATTTATAAAAAAAAAATAAATAATAATATTATTAGATAAAGAAGTACATAGGTGAATGTAGTTAACCAGTCTTAAAAAAAAAAAGGTCATGGGGGATACGACACCCAAATCCCCTCCCCCCCCGTAATTACGCCACTGTATACAGTTATACTTTATAGGCACAAATAGCACAATATAATGAATAGAATTTTACGCACGAGACAACTACATACCAACTCTGTTTTATTTTAGTTATACATATAATTAATATTAATTGAATCTCTATATTATGTGTATAGTGTATATTCAATTAATCATTGAAATACAATACATTTTGGTAAGAAGTTCTAGGAATAGAACTTATAACTTAGAAGATAAAATAAAAATGAAAAAAAATGTTAATAATTACATGATATCCTGTACCTATTAAGGTGGTTCATCAAGCATGCTTACCCCATATTTACTTTTTTTTTTATTCGGAAAATAAAATAAATAAATTGATTGAATAATTGGGAGACATAATAATAGCTGAAGGAAATCTTACTTATAGATAATTATTAGTTATAAAAAATTACAATAATAAAATGATAATAACCTAATAATTGTATGAGAGATAATTTATAATATCAATCATTATCGGCCGTAACATAGGTACAATTTTTAATAAGTAGGTCGAGGTACCACCTATAATATTTATAAATGTTCATCTCTAGATAACCTACCTAACGTAAAAAATGAATTGATCTATGGAAATAAAAAATCACGTCATATTAATAATTTATCACCTGATTATAATATTACATAAATTACTTGTAAGAGTTATAATTATTTTGAATGTTATACGTGTATAATTATTATACGTATAACATTTATGGTGTGTATGCACTATGCTTAATTTCAATATTATAATATGTTTTTGTAAATTTTAACGGATATATTATTTAAATGCACGATCGTCGTCATTATATAACATATAGTATTTAATATTCATACATTAATATAAGAAATAAGAGTAGGTATATCATTAGCAAAAATTTACGTAAACTTAGGTACCTAAGTAAATACATCCTTTTTTTGCTCTAGTATATAATATAAGAGGTATATATATATTTTTGAAGTTATTTACATAAATATGTGACATATTATGTATTTATGTTTATATTTTAGTATCAATACCGATGGTTTGGAAAAATTCGTGAATTATATGTATACTCGTAGGTGTTTTAATTTTCCCTATGTGGTTCATCCATTGTTGAAGAGTGGTTAAACATTTTTTCACTTCTATTTTCTATTTGACCTTGAATGGGTGGGGTTGGTGACGTCACCCCATGGATGCTGTGACWGGGTTAAGCAGAATAATATTGATTCCACCCTCTTGGCTGGACTTCATATTTTCACTATTTTGCTACTGTTTGTAAAGTATTCGAAACTACGTAGATTATTAATTGTAAGTGGAATCTTTGAATTCAGATTCACAGTATTAAAAAAAAACCTCTATAAATCTACAAAAAAAAAATATATATATATATTATGTATAAAAATATTCATCATTTTATTCCACTAATAATAAATAGATAGGCGAGAAGGATAGAATAGTAAATCATGAAGGCCTCTTTTGTCATGGCTGTGTTCATTTTTTATTTTTATTTTTTCTTATTGTTGTTATTATTATTATATATATTTTTTTATACGTGACATTCAAAGTCTACCAACATTGAAAATACAACCTAGTTAAAGATATACCTATAAAGAATACTCTCCTTACCATCTGTACCTATACTATAAACTCGGTACGACGTCATAAACATATTGTAATATGTTTGTATGGGAACTTTATAGTTTATACCTTCAAAATATATTCTAGTCAAAAATGATGTAACCTATTTGCAGACTGGAATAGTTGCAAGATCGATTTTTGTTAGAATGGGGAAACAGGAGGTGACTATACAAACTATTTAGGCCAACGAATGCCAATGTCATGTCACGAACTCTTGATTAGTCCCTACAGTTTTGAACAAAATTACAAATTGTTTATACATATTTACGTGTAGACTGTAGATATTATATGAAGAAGAAATAACATAAACGTGAAAATGTGTAAAAAATTAATATAAATTGACTATTATAAAATATTGTAAATATTAAGTATTAACATATATATTTATAATAGATAAGCAGTAAAAATAACTAGTATCCACCTAATGTAATTTAAATATAAACATTCAAGCAATTAATTTAGTTTATTAATTATAATACATAACTCTGTATAGTAAATCAAACTGCATAAGCATAATATATAGGTAGAGACTAGACAAATGATAATTAACATAGAATCATATAATTTGAAATAAAATGAGAATAAACACTTATTTAATAATATRCACACTCAGTATAAAATTATACGATGATTAGATAGTTACTAAATGTATATAATTGTGTATTAATATCTCTAATCTATATTCTTAATCATAACGTTTATTTTATGAAAAATTCAAGAAATAAATTATTCTTACGGGTTTATTTGCGTGTACCTATATATCATATATGTATCTAGTAGCTATAGGCGTACTTATTTTTATAATTTAAATTACGTGATATATTGTTTTATCTTTGGTGTGCAAAGCTCAAAGATTAATTTATTAACAATGATTGCTTTATGTTCAACATTCCTTAACAAGACAAAAACACTTTAATACTAATATAATAAATAAAATTAAGTTCATATAAAATATCAAAATTGTGTGTATCTTTATTCATGTCTATTTTTGTTTATCCATTGATGTACCTATAACCTATTTATAACATATTATTAATTTATAAATGATAAATAAACATATTTTATGTGATTTGTTACATGTTAGGCAACCATTCTACTTAAAGCTATAAATTGCTAAATACAACCACGTAAATAAGCAATTTTATACATTATTATACCTATACACTACATTTTATTATATATTATGACAACAGTAAGCAGTTTTTCAGATATAACGATACTTAATACGGAAATATAGCGTGACAAATGGTTTCAGAAACAACGTAAAAATGAATAAATGATATTCATGGGTTCGTACCTGTACGTAGCTATACCTACCTTAACATTATATGAATGCCTACAAGATTTCTGGTTTCTCATTTATTGACGAATCCCATTCGCGTGACTCCTCCCGAATCGAATAAACAGTATAACAAAATAATATAATTTAATTCAGCATGGTTTCTTTAGAAATGCGTATATAAGTATTAAGTATAAGGGGGCGGCGTAGATAGACATTATTTAAACACAGTTTAATTTGAATAATATGGCACGATATAGGTACCTCAGCACTGGTTGAAAATCCGTGTTGATACTTTGTGATTTTATACATTTAAATATTTATCAAATATTATTATTTTAACTAATAATCTATATTTGAACTTATAATGTTACACTTTTACTACCTACTATATTATTATTTTAACTAATAATAATATAACTTATAAGCTATATTTGCTACATAATTTAGTAATGCACTATCGAGCTGTAGGCCAGGGCATGTACCTATATGGTTAGGCTATAAAACTATAGTACCATAGGTACTATATTAGTTATATATCACTAATTTATAACATCCAAAGTAGGTAATCTTAAATTTGGCCCTAGACCCAAAAAAGGTTCGGCAGCTTTGACTTATAACATAAAAAATCTTTACTTACCTAAAGATTTATTTATCCAATCCGCTAAATCTTCTTTTAATGGTAGAAGCTGACGATTTTGACTGTCTACTATTTTGCCTTGATACTGTTCCAAATATTCTTGATCCGTATCAGTTGATGGGATCCTATGATCAATGAGGATACCCTTTTTTTTCGCGTCCATTTTCTTAAGTGATGAACGCGAAGGAATCTTGGATCATAAATGTTGTTGTTGTATGGATGTACTATAAAATATAAGATAAAAAGACTAAGTAGGTACTACCTATGCAGAACATTTTTGTTATTATATTATATGTTTCCGTGAATAAATAATAAATAGATAAGTTATGTTATAACTATATAAGCACTAGAATTTATTTAGTATTAATCAGAATAATCTGTTTTATTTCTATTTTAATTAACAAATCAAAATTTTTCTAGTGGAATGATCATTCATCCTTTAAAACGTGTTTCTTCGTCGTACACTCACGTATTTTTAAACAAAAAAAACCGAGAAAGTCGCCTTGCTGTATAATAGGTATCCAGAGTATAACTCGTCATTAAGTATAAATTATTATAATGGACGTATTGAATTTGAATTCAATGATAAATCATTACACACGAAAACGATTCTGAGCGAAAACAATGTATCAATCTTTAATTCTAAGGATATTTTATTGTTAATCTATAACAATAAGTAGCTAACTACTAGTAACAAGGATGCTTATAAATAGCTTAAAATAAATATTATTTACAGAAAATTATAATTAAAGTGAACGTGGAATGTTTTTACAAACAAACATCGTTAATAAATTATTATTATGCGTTTAAATAACAAATTAAGTCAAATATGTGAAAATTAATCAATCATAAACATTTTATATGACTTAACRCAAATATTTTCTTACTATAAAAAACTTACCACGATTCTTGTATAATCTTTTCAAATTTACAATAAACTAATGATAAGAAGTAATATAATACCTAATAATATTTATTAAAAATAATATTTTTCATGAATCTTGATATGTTTCACACATTTTCCTAAGGTTAGGCGTTAGATTAGGTTAGGTAATCCTAATAGTAGCAATAATAATTTCTATAATTTTCATTAATCAATTCTATTATAAATATATTTATATTACATACTATATTATAGTCATTAATATAATTTTATGTAGATATACCCACCTAACTGTCTTTTGATACCAAACTTTAAATTAAAAAAAAAATTTAATCTGATATTTCACAGAATTTAATTAATAACTATTCATTGATTAGACGTTAGGGGCGTATCAAAAAGGAGTCCGGATTCTGGACCCCCCTCCATTGATTGACAGAATTTAAAATTCTTAAAATGCAAAATCAATGATTGTATAATATAGTTGCTATATGGAATGTGGTGGTATATCCTCCGGTAATCACTGCAATATTCCCTCCCAATCGGTCTCCTCTGCTCTCGTAAACTCACATTTTTTTACACATGTCAAAAAATGCGGACCCCCTCCCCTTGGGCCTTGGCCCCTTCAAAAAATGTCTAGACACGATCCTGTTCCTGTAGGGCATTATTTTTTTATTAAGAGTAAAGGCTTCAACAGCAGAGGTAATTAGCCTGTAAAAGTTTCACATTATACAATTAGTGTTTGATAGCTTACCTAGCTAGTCGTATTTTTACATGGTTATATACATAGAAAATATTTACAATATTGGTTTATAATAGATAGGATAGATTAGTGGAATGGAAAAAATTGAATATTACATCAGTGTTGGTCTCTCCAAGCGCTTCTTCGATGTTAGTAGGGTGGTTTAATATGCTTCGTTCAAAATCGTTCATCATAATATTTGGCAACGATAATAATATTATATATTATTTATTAATTCTATGTTTTACTCTTAAATTAACAACTTATATAAATTTAACAATAATTCGTTTTATTTGAAATTTGAATGAAATATCATTGTATTAATTATTTTTTCAAATCCGTTCTTAATTTATTATTACCATTTCATAATATAACAAACTGATACGACTCGTACGACTCATACCCTAACTGTTAACTTGTTCGTGGCAATATCAAATTGCTTTATGGCTTAAATGATTAAACTACAATAGTTCTTCACCAATCTTATATTTCCTTTTTATTAAACATAGTAATTTTTAATTTCTATATGCGGGCGCTGTTAAGTGAACGTTTGACCCAGTTGTCATGGACAATTAACAATTTGGTGAAAATGAAAAAGCGAAAAGCGTAATAAATATTTGATGGTCTACTAAACCAAACAGCATTATAAAATCGTACAAATCAAGTATTCATTTAAAAAAATTAATTGCCACACTTTTTAGTAGGTAAGTTACTAGTTTGGTAGGTAGCTAATAATAGATATGCATTGGATACAATATCACCGTATTGCTAGGTATTTATACACATTTTAATGTACCTTTTTTTTTTATAGGTAAATTTATATCTTATTCTGTCTTCACTTATTTCTCTCCAGTTTGCTCTTGGGTCTACTTCTTTAACTTCTCTCTTCACACAGTCTTCCCATCTGAGGCGTGGTCTGCCTAGTGGTCTTTTTAATGTAGGTACCTACCTTACTAAATAATAATAAATTGAGTTATTTGAGAGTTATTATTATTATTATTTATTCAACTAATATTATTGATTAAGAAATTGGCGCAGTTCCTCCAGTAGGAAAATATATCTACATTCTGTAATAAGTATAACAAATACTCATTTTTAACTAAAATATTATTTTAGTTGTTCTATGGTAAATTAAAATAACAAATCTTATTACATTCCATAATAACTTCTACTAATTCTATTCTTTTTAAATTTATATTCAATGAATGTGTTTTAAAATTCATACCTAAAGCTATTTAAATTCTGGTTATAATTGATTTCAAAAAACACATTTTTTAACGTTTTTTTAATGTATTCATTCCTGTCTAAAAAATAGAAATAGTTTAAATTCCTCTTAAAATAACTGCATAACAAATTTAAAGTGGCTACTTAGGTTATTTTAACTTTAAAAACGAGTTGTTCAAAATCTAAAATATACAGGTACTCGGGTTTTACATTTTATATTTGTATGTGCAATTTTAGTATACTTCCTAATTTAAATTTTTCTTTTATATCATATATCAATCATACAATTCACATTATACAACAATACCTATGTGACATGTGCTTTAATGCTATCAATCCATTATCCAACTCTTTCAAATTTCTGTTCTGGGTTATTGAATTAGTCATACTAGGAACCTGTTTTTTATACATGTCTATAACTTAGAAAAAATTGTTTCATAAGTACTGTTTTCTGTTCTCTCCGTAGATTATCTAGATATATTCTATTATTTTATATTGAAAAAATGAGTTAACTTTGCACATTAATCTGAGTTAAGTCAGCACTATTTTTTTTATATTTTTTTTTTGAGAAAAATACTTAGTTAAAATTAAATTTACAACTCATCTGATATAATATTTACGATAAACAATTTGGAAACTAACATTAAATATTAATTTAAAATTATTTTCAATTTTACTATACGTTTTATAAATAATTATATGTTTGACTTATCCTGCAGTGCCTATATACAAATGTAATTTGTAATTAAAATATTTTTTTTTAACAAATATTTACTAATCCAGTATGGATATGGTTTTTCCTAATCAGTAAATTAAGTTTACCGTTGTGCAATGAAAATTCGATATATATATATATAATATATATATTTTATATAACATTATACCATTGCAAATAATACTTAGAAAGTGTCTACTAATCAATTTGTTTCGGCTGAATCTATTTTCTATCAATAAAATGTATAAAAACATGGTAGAATTGTGTTGATACTGGAAAGAAAAACGTATCGGTTACTATTGTTGTAGGTAGGTTCATTTCGCACTGTACGGTCTACCTAGCACGGGATTGTGTCAGTAGTCACCCTAACTAACCTATCAAACGCTCGGTTTCCCACAGATCATATTATATTAATTGACCTATATTTTTTACAATAAAATGTTCAAATTTAATTGCGACTAAAAGAAAATGTATGTGAAAAAATATAGCTACGTATTTGAGCAACTTTTTTTATAATATGATAACCTTTTACTTTATTGTCTACCAAAAATTAAATTTACCTAATCATTATAATCATCAAATAATTTTATGCTCAATAAAAATTAATATTAAGTGTACCCACCTGTACGGAAGAAGCATTTACCTATAGCTGTACATAATATATAACCAGCGTCGTCACTATGGGGTAAGTAAACTATAGCCCCCCTCCTATATAATATTCCTAGCAGCACCACTGCATGTTACGTATACCCATTGATTATAAATACTAGTATTTATAAGCAAATAAGCAATGGTATACCTTAGTATCTATGAGTATTGAGTTTTATTAAAAAATTTAAAATTAATTATATATAACTCAGATATGAATTATGAAAATAATATATATATATCAACTAGACCAATTAAATTATAAACTTTTTTATAAATGTATTTATTTAAAAATAATAATTTAAGGTCAGTATAATAGTAACTAGCAAGAATCTATTAATTTTACTACACATTATTTATAAAATATAATATACTTATATGTATATACAGAGTGTTTCTGAATTGTGTGAGGTAATTAGTATACGCCTCACTGTGATTCCACAATAAAGATTTTTTTGGAATTTTTTTTCTATCTTCAAAATCTGGGTTTTTAAATTTATTTTTAGAATATTATCTTGAATGTAAAAATGAACACTAGTCGTATTTTTTGCAAGATTCTCATACGAATCGAGATAWCGCATCATTTTTGCGCTTGTCGCGCGTTTTTGGCGCTCGAATCGCCAACTAAAAAAAAAGTCGTGCGACACATCGATTTGTATGAGAATACTGCAAGATAACCAGTGGTGATAATTTTATCATTTGTTGTCATTGATAATATACAATTAATGAACACATTGTTTTACATTGTCAACTAATAAAAATTATGAAATAATAACAAAATTAGGGTTAACAGAGTTTTAAACGATCAAATTTACTATCATATTTTTATGTAATACCTTTATTAAATAACTTTTAAGTTTATAAAGTTATAATAGTTAGAGATAAAAGAAACTACTTATTTGTGTGTTTATACTGAAATTCCAGTTTTTGGATATCACAGTACYTAAYAWAATTATTTTGACTCGATAAGATAAACATTTTATTTTATACTATTATTATTATTTATTAGTGAACCTAGTCGTTGATATTGAATTGACCGTACTCCTTACAGAGTACATGATGAACATTAGTTGGTCTGATTAGAGCTCAGTCCAATACTTGTCATTGAACGACATTTAAAATATTAATATTTATTTTTAATCGAATGAAGAATTGGTACTTGATGTAGTACATGAGGATCCGGAACTTAGTGTCCGACGCATAGCCTTAAGAACTGGTTTCGCCATCAGTAGTATGGAGAATATTACACCAAAATCACATGCACCCTTATCATCGAAAACGAATTCAAGAACTATTACCACGTGACTATCCTGATAGGTTGATTTTTTCACCAACAATTATTGGTGAAATTGTAATGAATTCAAGATAATATTCTAAAAATAATTTAAAAAAACCCAGATTTTGAAGTTAGAAAAAAAATTCCAAAAAATATTCATTGTAGAATCACAGTGAGTATGCGTATACTAATTACCTCACACACTTCAGAAACACCCAGTATATATGTGATTTAAAAATAAAATTTTTCAATATTAATTAGAATTATATGTAATAATACTAATTACAATCAACGACAACAAATATTAAGAAGGTATATGACAACAATAATCTGAACGTATTTTTTCAAAATTAATTTTAACACATATGTGGCTGTAAGAAAAAAGTGTCCATCACGTTTTTATAAAAGTACCCCGAGGTTGTCATATCATATGATTGGAAGCATATTTTTCATACTTTTTTATACTTGACATAATAGTATATAGTCTCGTTTTAGGCATGACGAAATAATATTGTCATCCGGACATCATTACATTGTCAAACTTCATAATATATTAATATATTATATGAATGGGGGAGCTGAATCCAAGCGTACACCTTCATTGTAACTCAATAGATCAAAATATTACAAACGCAAGAACAGTTATAATGTATTTCTATACCTTACATGATCTATTATATAAGGTGGTATTTTCTATGTTAACGACAAACATTCATACAACCTTATAGAAATATTTATGTTTATGTTTTTATTTATATTTTAAATATTTTGAGTAATATTACACATTGTTATTTACAATTTCAGGCTCAAAGAATAACCGACATCTTCATGAAAATAAAATTAGTTTAACACTCAATTTAGTGACTGWAATAATAATTATACCCCAAATTTAAATTTATATATTTCCAATAAGAGTTCCTTTCAAGAAAAAATAATTAATGATATTGTTAAACCATAATGATCAATTTTATGTTAAAAACCCACATCAAAATGGGCATTTCATTTCCAAGTTCCCTAAATTAAATATGTACATATATAATTTTGTAAAATATATAAAAAAATATGTACCTACTCCAAATAATGGAACCTACAAACAACTAGATATTTAAGAATATTTTATATACGAAATTATATAACATTACCTATACTTTGTAAAATAAATTTCTTATTTGGTACATTTGTTTGAAAATATTTAAGTTAAATGAATACTAAATACTTTGAAATTAAACATCCATTCGAACTTTACACTTTTTTTAATTTGAATTTTCAATTACCTATGTATAAATTTAAAATTATATGCAATATAAATTTTACTTACTTAATTGATATTGAACTTTCCATATTAGACACTTTGGTGCTGATCTTGAACGACGATTGGAAAATTGCACCAGACATAGTTTTATTGCAGCGATGATCAGAAGAACAACGAAAATCTCACGAGCGCACTGCGATGAAAACTGTATTATTATGCTATGTTTTAGCGGCTCGGGAATAGGAAAACTCCGGAGAAATGGAGTAAAACGCTCAGTGCTACCTCAAGTAACAGTTTACAATATTTTGTTGCATGCGTACTGTACTGACTACAGAACCTTTTTATTACAATGAATTATAAATAAGCAGTGTATAGARAGGTTTCTTTATAGCAAAGAAGCCCCAAATGTAATCCAATGCAATAATTAAATGTTGAGTTTTGTTTTTGCTTACTCATACAATTAAAAAGTGTATACATATTATAAATAAAATATTTTAACTACAAAACACGTTAATTACATTAATTTATATTAATATTATTTTTTTTATTGAAATACAATATTTTTTATTCATTTATAGCAACAATGACAGTCAAAATATTTTTAATTAAACAAAATAGAAAAACATCAATTTAATCCACTATACTTACAAAATAAACAATTAAAAATTGATTTTAAATCAAAGTAAAATGTACTGTTGCTAAACTGTTTCCTCTCTCAAGTAGTTAAGTCATCATTATTTCATTCATTTCATGTATTTATTGTGCTCATTTGTATAGATTGTAAATTTAGCAATTTCTCAATAAAAAAAAAAATTAATATAAATATTAGAATTGTAAGCCTCCCCCTATATAAGTACTGATTTCAAAAATGTAATACGAAAAATATTTTTAGTTTTATACTATATTTTTACAGTTGACGAATTAATTAAATTATATGAATACATTATTTTTGGTTTTTGGATATTTATTATTAATTGTTTACGTGTATATTATTTACAGTTTGAACACTTGAAATTAAATTTTATTTAAAAATATTAGAATGAATTATGCATGGGACGGTTTTATATTAATTGTAGTTCTGGATAAACAATCAATGAATTTGGGCCACACTGTGGTGCTGGATTGGTGGAAAGTACTATTTTCTGAAATTTAATTTTAAAAATATCATAGAACAATAACAACATACAACCAAATCCAAATGTATGGTAAGCACATTTACTGTCCCAAAACGTGATAACAGACACAAAAAAAAAATCACGGTAAAAGCAATACATTCCTCGYCCCACTCAGAATCTAAAAATACAAACTTAACGTCTACTGAAAAATAAGATAAATATTATCAAATACAATGCTAAAATCTAAATTTTAAATGTCTAAAAATAGGTAGTAAAAATGATTCATTTGGATTTTTTTACAAAACGAATACGCCGCGCGCCGTAGTGAACAAAAAGCATTATAAATTTTGATTATACTTTTTAAAAATACAAATGTGTGAATCAACATTAGAAATAACAAAAAAAACAAAACAATACCTATGCTTAGCTAATTAAAAGCGAATACGCGTAAGTTTTTCAATTACTTGCCCATTAAGGTATCATGAATATGAATCGAAGACGCAGTTCAGTTCGCCAATCACAAATATTGCACTAATTCCCTTTATAAATAGTTTATTTATAATACCTACTGTCTAAATGTTAACATATAAATGTAATAATTTACAATTTACATTGGTTTTTAAAAAATCCATATTACTTGTTTTAAGTGTATCATAGTATATTATAAATCTAAATTAGGGTGAGGTCATACAAAAAAGGTTAAGAACCACTGATAATTGTCTGATATTAATTACATATATAATATATACAGCTATATGCATTATAAGAACGTACGCGTATTTACCTATATTATATTGACACGGTCCCGCGTAATAGCCGTTTGAATTCAAACGGCCTTTGCGCGGAAACCCGCGCTATCACTTCTCTGTTCAACCGTCAGTCGACGACGGCCGACACCGACACGCGATAAGCGCGCCTGGAAATGTCGACCGTTCGTACCGCGAACCGGCTCGTCGCTGGTAGCAAATTAGTTCTGCGAGCTGCGACCGCGCTTGCAGTGACAACCAACACACACCCATAGTTCTCGCACGTGTCGTACCCTCCCATATAATTGTGCTTTCTTTTGTGTCTCCTTTTTTTTTCACACCTTCGTTTTTTTGTTTCGTTGTAGTTTTTCTTATTTGCAAATAAACAARTCAACCACCGCACTTCTGCGACTCAAAGAGTGTGTTCTTTTTCTTTRTTGTGTAACACTCTTCCACACTTACCTTTGTGGGATCCGTCCAGGACCGCCACAATATTAATAGGACGTCAAACTCACATGTGTTGTCTCCATCGTACAAGTGCGTAGCATAGCAAATTTTACGCTTAGCAGATCACGATTATCTCCGTTAATTTAAAATTTAGAGTGATTGCCCTATTATAGAAATTAAAGACAAGATTATTACCGAGGGCATCTCATAGAATTTTTATTATATTTTAATTTTAAACTGAATTATGACTATTTTAAAATTGTAAATTATTTTTATATCTAAAAATACTCATAACTTGGTTTAAAATTAAAATCTAATCTAAAGTAATTAATAATCTTGCCTTTAATTTTTATAATAGGTCAATTCACTCTAAATTTTAAATTAACGGAGATAAACGTGATCGGCTGAGCGTAAAATTTGTAAAAAAGTAAAAAACTTAAAAAATTATAAGGATAAAAAAATATTTAAAAACATAATTTTTTA